TGTGGTTGGCGCAGGATAGAGTAGGGTTTAGGGCTGTTGTGCATAGGGTCGCTATGAGTCGGAAAAGACTCGAGGGCACATAACAACAACAACAACTGCAGTGAAATAGATTAGGGAGAGAACTGTTTAAAAGAGATATGTGATTAGGTATTATTGTCATGACAGGAGTCCAGAACAAAGGCTGCATAGTGGAGCAGACTTGGGGGAAGTGGTTGTATTAACAATGAGAGAATTTTTCTTTTACTTTTCAAAGAGAAGAGCAAACTGGGTGGGGGGAGGTTGGACAGGGAGAAATGTGCAACAATGAACGAATGGAAATTCAGTCTCTGTAAATACATTAAAATTAATAAAAAAAAAGAAATTGAAAGAAGTATCACTTTGGGAAAATCCAGTGTCAAAGATCTCTCCAAAGTCCCAAGGAACAACCATGTCAATTTGAAGATTAAGGTGTGTTTGATCTAATCCGTGATATTGTCAACTACTTGATATTGTCAGTTGACAGTGACTAACGATCATAGAAGAATCAATGCCTTTGAGTTGAGTTGTCAAATAAGAATGCTGAATATTCCAAGAACTGCCAAAAGAACAAGTACAACTCTGAGAAAGTGTTATTAGAGTGCTGGAGGCAAGAATAGTGAAACTTCCTCTCATACTTTGTATGACATGTTTGTAGGACATACTGTAAGAAGGGGCCAGTCCTTAGCAAACGCCATAATGCTGGGAAAGGTGAGAAGTCAGTGCAAGAAGAAACACCCTCAACAAGATGGACTGACAGAGTGACTCTTAACAATGGACTCAAGTATATCAGAATTGATGGGAAAGGGACAGGGCAGGGCAGGGTACAGATCTGCTATTCATAGGGTTGCTGTGGATCATGGTTGACTTGACAGCATCTAAAAACAACTTCTGAAAATGTGGGATGTCTTTTAAAATTCAGTTACTCTAGAGAAAAACAAGACCCATGTTTCAGGGTAACACATTCTGACATCCTGCCCAGGCTTCCCTCTTTTCTCTTTGGGTGAGAAGATAAAGAACAAAGACGCAGTACTTCAGAGAAAAGTGGGAGTATGCTTTCAGGTAGCAAGGAAATGGGAACAGGGAGAGGCAATGACCTTGGGTCCTGCATCCAAAAGCCTTGCCTGCTCAGAGCGTTAAGATTGGTCTCCTCACTCCACTCTGCTCATCTTGATGTCTCAGAAGAGCCCTGATATAATTCAATATTGTCTTTCTCCCACAATAAAAGTCCAAGCAAGAAATAACAACAACATACAATGACAGTGGCATCCACTTCCTAAACAGCATGTCTCTGAAAACTTATGAACTTTGATAAATGTTAATAGTTGTAGAGGGGTTTCATGCCTTTTGTTCATCAGGTTGCTATGATTCATGCTCAACTAGAAGGCAATCAACAAAAACATGAACCTACAGACTGCCTAGGTATTGTTGTTGTTGATTACCATCAGGTCAAGGTCAACTCATAGTGACTCTATGAACAAAAGACCTAATGCCTTTCCATAGCTATCTTTGTTTCTCCAAGTTCATAGAGTTTCCAGAGGCATGTGGTTTAGAAAGTGGATGCTACTCCTGCTTCCCCACCTCTTTTACCTAGGTAGAGCTAAATGTATTAAATACATGAAGCTACATGTTACTCTATTGCTCAATGTCATTTAACAACAATAATAACAACAACAACAACAACAACGAGAGAGAGTTCTGTTGGCCTAGTGGATAGAAAGTTATGTACCAAGCCAAAGGTGGATGATTTAATCTGTGGCCCCCAGGCTTGGTTTAAATTGTTTTTGGTCAAACATTCTTCTAAGTGGTATATAGCACTGGTCTATGCATTGCTGTACATAGGTAACTCATGGTTGCTGTAATGGTAGACACTGTGACACTGATGTGTTAAATATAATGGTTACCCATGGTGGACAATGTTTGGTGGAGCTCCCCTATTAAAACAATCTTGGAAGCAGGAGCGGCATCTACTTCTGAAATGGCTTGCCTCCAGAAAATCTGTGAACATGGAGAAATGATGAAAGTTATAGAAGTGTTCAGGTCTTTCATTCATAGGGTCACTATGAGTCCTCTACGGCTTGACAGCATGTTATTCTATTTCTGCATGTGTTCATATCTATATATATTCTCAAGAGAACACACACACATACATACACACACACACTGGCATAATAGTGTGTAGATTCATATCTTTATCTATACCTATATCCATATCTATACCTATACCTATATATCTGTCTCTGTCTCTCTATCTCTTATCTATCTATATTTTGAGCTCTGATTAACATTTAACATATGCATATGCTGTTGTTATGTGCCACCGAGTAAGAACCGATTCATAGCTGAATATCGAGTGCACTTTCAGAGGCTGTAAATCACACAAAAAGAGATGTCCTAACTTTCCCCTAAAGAGCAGCTGATGGATTTGAACCTGTGCATATGGGTTGCAGTGGAATTCATTATCACTGCTCAATATACGTAGGTAGAGATATATATGTAGATATACATAGATAGCTATGGATATGACAGTTATACCTAAGGCAGCTCTGGTGGCCTAGTGATAAGAAACTGTGGCTCCCAATATGAAGGCACACGGTTTAAATTCACCAGTTGTTTCAGAGAGGAAATATGGGTAATCTCCAATAAAACCAAAACTTACCTATGCTAAGTCAATCTTTACAGACAGTAACCCTACCTCTAGTTTCTAAGCCTGTAAATCTTTAAGGACAGAGATTGTCTCGTTTTTTTTTTTTTCTTTTGCAGAATATCTGGTGACTCCAAACTACCTGCCCTTTTTTTCTCAAGTCATTATCATGGAGTTAGAAAAAAACTCATAAATGACCCACCAGTAGGGTTTTTGGGTTTTTTTTTTTAGCAATAAACTGCATGTGAAGAGATTGTTGTGTTGTAGAGCCACTGGTGGATTTGAACAATGAGTGAGGTGCTGCCTTTGGATTAGCAGCACAACTCCCTACAGACTCGTTATTGTTCCTGTTATGTGCCATAGTTGACCCTTCAGCAGATTTTCAGAAGCAGTAAATTTAAACCTCCTGTCACAAAATCAAAAGTTGCTCTGGGGACTATATTGAATAATCCAGAAAGCATCAAAAGAAGATGAAAGGAATACACAGAATCTTCATACCAGAATGAATTGATTGACTGAAAAATTTCAGGATGTATCATATGAATGGAAGCCAATGGTAAAAAAAGGAGGAAATAGAAATTACACTGAAGGCATTAGCAAAAAATAAGGTCTCAGGAATTGATGGGCTATCAACTGGCTTGTTTCAATCAACAGATGCAGCCTTGGATGTGCTCACCAAGCTATGCCAGGAAATTTGGAGCATGGCTGTTAGGCCAACGGATAGGAAGAGGTCCGTATTTGTTCCCTTTCCCAAGAAAGGTGATCCAACTGAACATAGAAACTTTCGAACAATGTCATTAATATCACATGCAAGCAAAATTCTGCTGAAGATCACTTTAAGACAGCTAGAAAAGTACACAGAAAGGGAACTTCCAAAAGTTCATATAGGATTTAGAAGAGGCTGTGACATCAGGGATATCATTACTAATGGATCCTGGCTGAAATAAGGAATATCTGAAGAATATCTATTTGTACTTTATTGACTATGTAAAGGCATTTGACTGCGTGGATCATAACAAGTTATGACAACTTTGGGAAGAATGGAAGTCCCGTAGCACTTAATTGTCCTCAGGTGAAACTTCCACCTGGACCAGAAGGCTGTTGTGCAAACAAAGCAGAGGAACACTGCATGGTTTAAAATTGAGAAGGGAGTGTGTCAGGGTTTTATTCTCTCTCCATACCTATTCAATCTATTTGCTGAGCAAATTATCTGAGAAGCTGGACCCTTTGAAGCGGGGTGTGGCAACAGTATTGGAGGGAGACTCATAAATAACCTGTGTTATGCATATGACAGAACCTTGCTTTCTGAAAGAAGGAGGACATGAATCATTTGTTGCAGAGGAACAAGGAATGCAGACTTCAGTATAGGTTGCATCTCAATGTCAGGAAGAGACAAATTCTTACCACTGGACCATAGGCAGTGTCATGATGGATGGAGAGGATATTGAAACTGTCAACAGCTTCATCTTTCCTGTATCCACAATTCATACCCTTGGTATCATTAGTCAGGAAATAAGGAGATCTGGGAAAATCTGCAGTTGAGGACCTCTCCAATTATTGAGAAGTAATGATGTCAGTTTGAGGATGAAAGTGCATCTTTTTTAAGCTATTATGGCCTTTCTGATTACTTGCTATTCATTTGAGAACTAGACAATCAATAGGGATGACAGAAAAAGAATTGATGCCTTTTCAAGAGAACAAACAGATATGTTTTCGAGGAGGTGCAGCCAGAATGCTCTTTGGAGGCAAAAATGATGAATCTTGGCCTCATATGCTTTGGGCATGTTGTTAGGAGGAGCTATTGCTTGTATAAAGACAAGATGCTGAAAGAGTGGAGGATCAGCAAAGGATAGGAAAACCCTCAACCAGGTGGATAGATAGAGTGATTGCTGCATCGTGCTCTTGTATATCAGTAAGTGTGATACACAAGATAGAGCAGGGTTCAGATCTTTGTTCATGGTGTCACTTAGAGTCATACGCAACTCAAGGGTACCTAACAACAACAAATCACATGGAAGGAGAATGCCCATTTTATCCCCCTGAAGCAGCTGGTGGATTTGAACTTGTATATCTTTGTGTTGGTAGTACAACTCCTTACCATTAAAGCACCAGAGTTCCCTACAGACTAGGGACCCCCAAAATCACACACCATGCCACACTCCTCCCCTGTGATTCACTGCCTCTGAAAACCTCCTGGAGGATCAGTTTTTGAGTCAGTTCAAACTTGAAAGTACTCAACAACAGTGTATATATGCTCATTATTTAAAGTAGAAAGATAATCCATGAAATACAAGTAACATAATAAAGAAGATATTGTAGTATCAAATAAAACTTTTCTTACCTTATTTGAACCACATATAGAGCCGTCACTCACATAAGTATCATCATATCTATTCCTTATTGACTCATTTCTTAGAAATGCAGATATACAAACATGTCCTCTTAGGTAAGTGTACTGAATATCATAATGTGTCAATGGTATTACTTCTCCTCTTGACCAGTGACAAACTACCTTCCCGCAAAGAATATTCCTGACAATATAATTTGGGAGGTAGGGGGAGAAAGAAATGCATTTGTAACTTAAGGACCAAAAGCTTTAGATAAATGATTCAAAACGTGGAAATAATTTAAAAATGCTACTATTTCAAATCAAAATGTCAAAGCTGTTTAGAACACAAGTGATCTTATCAAACCAAAAAAATATAAACTGATCTTTTTTTCACTACGCTATCTCTTCTCACTATTAGGAGATTCTCTGCAGTACACATACAAACAGGTAGACATTTTTGGAAAATGTATAGTTTTCTAAGTACATACTCAAAACGACAAGGTTTTCCTTTACAATTTCCAAAATCATCTCCATGAAAGTTCACTTCTTCTGTACATAAATAATCAGCACCCTTTGCAACTGAAAGGATAAATAAATTTCAAATTAATCATCTTAAACAAAAAAGCTTAAATGTTAAAAGTAATGATAAATAAAGACCAGAGCAATGAGTTCACTTAGTACGATGTATTCTAAATTTATGCATAAAACTACTGATGATCCAAAGCATGAAACATTTAATAAAATCTCCTCTTTAATTTAAAAAAATTAGTAACAGAATAAAAAAATTACTGATTAATCTGTCATTTACAATCCCATTGCTCCAAAATCTCAAAACACAATATTTTATTCTTTATAGATAGACTATCTCCTTAGCTTATAACATTGTCAAAATTACTTTTCTTACAATTGCAATACTATTTTGTTTTCAAATTTCAGTTTAAAAAATCAACCACTTTTAAGCTTTATACAGAATGTATTACTAATTTTAGAATAATCACAATTTAAAAATAAATAACTCTAAAACCTATGAGATGCACAGAATTCACTAGAAAGGCATTACAACTAATAATTTAGAAAATTGCCAAGGTCCAAGATCAATACACAAAAATCAGTCAGCTTTTTATATATGAAAAATGACTTGAAAAATAATTTAAGGAAACAGTATCATTTATGACAGGATTTGAAAGGATAGCATGCATAAGAAAGAGAAAACACCCAGCATATTGTTATTGTCAGCTCCAATTCATGGTGAAACAATGTATAACAGAATGAAGTGTGGCCAGATTCTGTACTATCCTTACAATTGTTTTTATGTTGAGTTCACTGTTGTAGCCACCATGTCCATTTATACATTAGAGGTTGGGTTTTGTGTTTTGTGTTTTTGGTTTTTTTAGTGCTTGTGTGTGTGTGTGTGTGTGTGTGTGTGTGTGGTGACTTCTGTTTAGCAAGCATGATGTCATTTTTCAGAGCTGCTCCCTCCTAAGAACAAGTCAAAGTGAGGAGATAACTTGTCACCCTTGCTTCTAAGGAGCCTTCTTGCTATACATTTTCCAAGCCTTATTTATTATGTCATATATAAGTCCATGATATATTATTCTTTGCACTCCATAGTACCTTCATTTTTCTTTGCCAATATCATCCTTTCGGGAGGCACAGAGGGGAGACTGCGGGACACGCCGCCGGGGAGCCTGGAAGCCAATCCGGCAGAAGTCGAGGCCAGGCAATAGAGAAGCCACTCGAGGCAATAGCTTCTCACACACCTACAGATACAAAGCCCCAAGACGGAGCCAAAATCGGTCGGGGGCTTCGTCTGACATACTTTGGACATGTTGTAAGGAGAGACAGGTCTCTGGAGAGGGACATCATGCTTGGGAGGGTGGAGGGACAGCGCAGGAGGGGAAGAATCTCTATGAGATTAATTGATTCAGTGACTGGGGTAATCGGGATAGGTGTGTCAGAGGCAGTGCAATTGGCACAGGAGAGAGCCGCATTTAGGGCTGTTGTACATAGGGTCGTTATGAGTTGCAAACGACTCGACAGCACATAAAAACAACAACAACAATATCATCCTTTAAATGCATTCTTTGCTCTACAGTCTTCTTTATTTATTGCCCAGCTTTCACTATCATATAAGGTAATTGAAAATACCATGGCTCAGGTAAGGTGTACCTTTGTCTTAAAATTACATCATTTCTTTTTTGACAATTGAGAGAGGATTATTTGTCTGAGATTATTTTGCAGCAAGTTGTCCAATTAAATAATTTTGATTTCCTGACTGCTGTTATCATGGATATTTTTTGAGGATCCAAGTAAACTGAAGTCCTTGAAAACTTCAATCCTTTATTCACACTCATTTTGTTACTTACAATTTGTAAAGACTTTTGTTTTCTTTAAGTTGACATATAATTAATGATTAAAGCAATAGCTTTTGTTCTTCATCAGAAAATGCTTCCGTTTTTTTTAATTTAAGCAAGCATAATTGTATAACTTGCCTCTCGAAGAGTATTATAATGCTGATGCCAAATTCTTCTTCACATAGTCCAGTTTGTGCACTATTTTCTCAGTATATTGACTCAATAAATCTGGTGACTATGCATCACCTTTATACACATCATTTATAATTTATAAAACCACACAGAATTCACTTGTTCTACTAAACCAATTCCCTATGGTCTATTTTCAAAGATCATAATTTTTTGTATGATCATAATCAAGTGTACTGGAATCCCCATTCTTCACAATGCAGTCATTAATTCGTTTTGATTTGCACAGTTCAATACCATTGCATAGTCAATGATCCATCTAGCAACAGTAATGCCATCCCTCATTCATACCCTCTTAGCTTGACTTTCTTTCTATTCCCAATATGTACTGCTGCAACAGTTTTTAAATTCTCTTCAGCAAAATCTACTTGCATGTGATATTAATCATACCATCTGAAATTTCCTGCATACTAAAAAAATATTAATGATCACTAAAAAAATAAAAGAAGTTGAACGAAAATCCAAGTTTATTAATTAGAGTTTTTAATAGAGTTAAGATGTGAATATTATTCAAAATGATGAAATAGAATATTCATCAAAATTCTAGTTATCCTTTTTGTATAAACAAAATAGCAAATTCTCAAATACATATAAAAGAAAATGGGATTCCAAATAACTAAAGCAATCTTGAAGAAGAACAGAGTAAATTGACCTATTGTTGGTGGTGGTCTGTACTATTAAGTTGGAACCAACCCAGAGTTGACTCTCCAGCGGATTTTCAGAGGCAGTGAAATCACACATGAGGAGATTGTCAATATTTCCTCCTAAAATCAACTGGTGAATTCTAATCGTGTGCCTTTGGTTTGGCTGCAAAATTCCTTACCACTAAGCCACCATGGCTCCACTTTATAAATGAAACACATAGAATAATGGAATATAAATAAGAATTTAGTAATAAATTCATCCATTTGTAGTTAAGTAATTTTCTTTGGGTTTTTTTCTCCCCAAATAATTTGAAGGAACTCTGGTATCATAGTGCACCGCATGCTGTGCTATAAAGCCAAAGGTCATATGTTTAAGTCTACCAGCTACTCCAAGGGAGTAAAATGAGCACTCTCTTCTTTAAAGACGTACAGCTTCAGTAACCCAAGGAAGGCATGTCTTGAATTGGAATACGCTTGCTGGCAATGGGTTTGATATGAGTTTAATTTTCAATAAGAGTTAGCATAAGATCATTCAATGGAAAAGTAAGGATCTCTCTTAAAAATATTGCTGGAAAGTTTAACAGGACAGCAAGTAATAAATGTTGAAAAGGATATGGAGATAAAGGAACTCTCACACACTGTTGGTGGGATTGTAAAATGGTACAACTACTGTGGAAGACAACTTGACATTTCCTCAAAATTTTTATCATAGAAATTCCATATGACCCAGCTATTCCACTGCTTGGAATATATCCTGAGAAAATTAGAAATGAGTCATAAATGGATATTTGTACACCAATGTTCATGACAGTGTTATTTGCCCTTGTAAGAATATGGAAACAACCCAAATATCCAACCAAAATCGAATGGATTGCAAAATGTGGTACATTCACATGAAGGAATACTGTGTAGCATGCAGCCACAATGATTTTGCAAATTACTACTTAACTTGGGAGGGACTGGAGTGCATTATACTACGTGAACTAACTCAGTCCCATAGTACAAATACTATATAAGATCATTATAATAGAAATAGGTAATTAGTAAAATGTGTATGAGGATCCAAGGGTGTAAGGGTAGCAAAAAAGTGGTGAGGATGGGAAGGGGAGTAGTCATAGGGTCACACAATTTGATGGTAAAAGGAGGAGTCAGTAAAAAAAATGGAAAAGATTGGATGTGAAAAACAATATATAAATTTGGTAAACAAACCAGTAAAAATAAACATTTATTTTAAAAAGATATTGCTGGAAAAAAAATTGGATTTCTATATGTAGTTTCCATGCTGCAAATCATACCACAAAACCCCAAATGTATCAAGAACCTAAATGTGTAAACTAATGACCATAAATTTATATATGAAAAGGGTGAAGTTATGGCTTAGTTTCCAGTAAATGGCTATTAGATATGGAAAAACAAAAGCATAGAGATAAAAATGCATAAGAGATAAGTTTGACTTCACAAAAGATAAACATATATAGGTGAGTGTTATCTAAGATAATGTATAGTTCTAGTAGATTCTATTTCAACATGAATGTTTGTATGTGTTACAGATATATCTATGTAGGCAGTGTACTCAATGGGTGTGAAAAGAAAGTAAACTTCTCAATCATAATGGAATATCCTGAGGGAATGAGTCATCAATCGTCTTGTTATCACTTTGGGACAATGATCTAGAAAGACATTGATAAAGGTCCATTTCCATGATATAGTGCACAAGAGCAATGTTTCTTTTCTTCACGCACAAACTCTTTAATCCTCAGTCTTTATTCACAAACAATCCAGAAATAATGTAGGTGAGTAATGACTGGAAATTTAAGAGCTTGTGCATGAATACAAGAAAACAAAATGATAGGCATCCAAATGACAAAGAAGAAGTAAAATTATATCTATTTGCAGGGATTATGATACTATATATAGAAAATTCCAAAGACTCAGGGGGTAAAAAGAACACAACTCTAATCTAATTGACTCCTTTAGTGAAGTGTCAGCATGGAAGATAGACATAAAAAAATTAGTAGGATTCTTTTACAGTAGCAGAGATCTATAAAAATAGAATAAAGAAAATAATGCCATTATAATATCCCTCCAAAAGAGAAAATATTTAGTAATAAAACTAAGCATAGATGAGTGAAATATCTCAGTCGTAAAAGGACAAATACTGCATAGTGCCACTGTTGTAAAACAGAACTGACTTTGGAGCTGGGGGGAAACTAAGAGGGGATAAATAATGTATACTACATTGAAACAGATGAGGGAGAGAACTGTTTAGGAGGAATATATGATTAGGTATTATTGTCATGAAAAGTGTCCAGGATGAAAGCTGCATAGCGAAGTGGATTCACGGATGAGGGTGGTTATATAACAATGAAGTAATTTTTTTTTTTTTTACTTT